ATTCTATGACGATGTCTGCTGTAATCACTCTAGCCTCCAAACAAATTGAGATAAATGGCCTACATTTTGCATTTGGTCAAGTTCGAAGATGAGCTATATTGGTCCACGGTTAGGCATAGCCCTCATATAAGGGTACTCCCATGTTTCGTTTTGGGTTTCTTGAGTGCCCTATTTAAGCGAATTCGCTCCAATTTGGTACAATGGACTCTTTTTGGGTATCAAATGTCTCCACTAAATATTATATCGGTTTACTTTTTGTTGTCAATCGAAAAAAACATGAAGGTTTGGTGTACCATTCACCTAAAATCGGACGAAAATATATATGGGAGCTATATTTAAATCTGAACCAATTTCGTCCAAACTTACCAGACGTTATTGTAGACCCATTTCGATACGTTGTGCGTAATGTTCTGTCAAACGGGCACACTTTAACTCTATATCTAAATTTACACCGATTTCAATAAAAATTGACACATGTTAGGCTATACTAACGTTAGTACTTTGGAAGCTGTATGTAAATCTGAACCGATTTCAATAAAACTTGGCACACATTAGGATATCTCAGCTTCAGTGCGTTGTGTACAATTGTGTGCCAATAGGCCTAAATTTGACTTTTTGGTGCACCATTTGATAAAAATCGGACGAAAATATAGATGAGAGCTATATCTAAATCTGAACATATTTTCTCCCATTTTAATAGAGTTCGTCCTTGGGGCAAATAAATGATATGTGCAAAATTTTATCTCATTCGGACGTTTTATTGGCTCTACCTGAAATTGCCAATAAAATTGGATTCCTGGCCCATAGTTCGGCTCTATTATTCTACGTTTAAATTAATTTAGACCAATCCCGATCTGGCACGTTGGCAATAGGACATTTGTGTGTCGTTCAAATCGTCGGTAGAGTTCCGATTGTTAAGAATATAGCTTTGAAATTTTAATTTAATACTCATTTCAATATTGGAATTTCAATTTTACATTTCACAAATTTTGCCACGTATCGGAGAATAAATGTTTGACATTAGCGGATGTGGAACGTGTTCAATATAAAATCAAAGCAGTTCAAATATTTGCAATACTATATAAGTTGGCATTAACATTTTGCATGGAATTATTTGTCGTTAAGTGACAGGTCAATAGAAGTTCTTTTAAAAACAAAAAAATATTGTAATAATAACAACATAAATATAAACCCAAAATTAAAGAAAATGTTAAAAACTCCCATAATAATATCTTCAATATTACTAATATCAATTGTTGACATTTATGCTGAAGATAGAAGAGAATTTTGTGCAGGTTGTTTCTCCCCTGTGACGGGAGAGCAATTAAAACTTGTGGAAAAACAATTGAAAATAGCTTTGAGTTATTTGAAAATTGGACATATTCAAAAATATTGGTAATATACAATATTTATTTTTAAAACTGATTGTGTTTATTTAATTATTTGTTTGTTTTTTGTCATACAGTCTTTTGCAGATAAACTCAGCTAAAAAGCAAGTTGTGAATGGTTTAAAATATGCCTTAAATGTTGACTTAATTGATGTCCACAGTACGAAAAAGACCTGTGACGTTGTTTTATATAATGGAATAACTCATCATAACGAAATTACTATAAAATGTCCTAACAAGCGTGTAATAAGTAAAACATTTGTGCTTTAAAACTTATTAAGTTAATAAAAATAAAAATTGTATTTTTTTACGAGAAATTAACGAGTATTAAAACATACACTTAATGTTCCGACAATCTATCCACGAATAATATCTAAACTAGTAAGGAATGTAGTAAAGTCGGACGGGCCGACTATATGATACTCTTTACCACTTTGGGTATATTTAGAACATGCATCCATTTTTGAAGGACCTTTGAGACGAAATTGAACTAAATTAAATATGTGATCTATATTTATTCCAATGATGGGACAGTCAAACAAACCTAGATAAAAACTAACGAAAATATATATTTTAGATAATTCTGAACTGATTTCAGATACGTTGCGCAAAAGCTTGTGTCAATCGAACAAACTTTGTCCCAATTTCCTAAAATCGCGATATATATCTAAATCTGAACCATTTCGATATATATCATTTTTTCAGACTATACTAACTTCTGTACGATATGGTGCACCATTTACCTAAAATCGAACGAAAATATATATGGGAGCTATATCTAAATCTGTACAGTTACATCAATGGAATATAGTGGCTAAAATCTTTATTTTGCGGTACATGTGGTTGTTTCAGATAGTAATTGTAAGTTCAATTTTAAGAATTGCAGCTCTATCTGTTCACCAATATCCAAATTGTAACAGATTTGGTACAATTCTGTACTTTTCGTACCCATATTCCAAAAATATCTCAATCCTTCACTGCGACAGTATTATTAGTTGCAACTGTCAGAATTTCAGTTCTATCCGTTCACCAATGTCCAAATTGTACTAAATTTAGTACTTTTCGTATCTCAGTCATGCACTCCAATAATAAGCTTAAGTCTAAATTTAAAGAGTCCAAATCTATCCGCTCACCAACTTCTAAATTGTACCAAATTTTGTGGCATTTATTACTTTTCGAAGACGTAAGTACGACTTTCCTAAACTTCCTCAATACTAAAGTTCAACAGTCATTTTAATCATCAATTTCTGGATCCCAGCCCATTCCGTTCACATAGATCCAAATTATATCAATTTAATACCATTTCGTACTTTTCTTTTTTGTCGATTCTGTACCCGAACAGTAATTGATTTCTAAAAATAAGAATTCCATCTGTTAAGTTCGCACTATAGGGACTTGGGTGGTGGCAGGTACAGTGCAGTTGTGGTTCTCCCAATAGAGTCAGTACGCCCAATGCGTACTCGTGAGCCAAAATAAAAATATATAAATAGAAAATAAACCACACTAGTTTTATTAGTAAAAGGGTTTGACCAATGCCGACTATTTATTTATTGGTAACGATATTACCTTAAGGTACAACGATATGTACGGTGGCTTACAATAAAGCCTTGGTGTTCACAACAATATGTGAGTGTAGCCAGTCAGTAACCAACGAAAGTAATACAAGTAATAATAACGTTTGTTGACACAAAGATGCCTAAAGGTGGCGCAAACTCAAACATGTAAGCAAAAGCCCGGTGAAATCTGTCAGCCTCATACAATTACAAGCATGTATTAAAGAGGAGTGAACAGATCAAAGGCTAACTATGTATTTAACTATTTTAAACAGCTATTCTTTCTTAAACACAATCTATCGCTATCCGTTCACACAAATCCAATTTGTGCAATATTTTGTACTATTTATCACTTTTCGCTCCCAAGGGGTACGAATCAATTAGAATTAATTGTAATTCCAAGTTTCAGGATTCCAACCCCCCATCCGTTCACAGAGAAACAATTTGTATCATAGTTAGTACAATTTAGTACCCATAAGTAAAAATTTCTAAATTACCTAATAATCTAAATTCCAAATTTCAGCATTACAATTCTATCCTATCAGCCTAATGGAAATTGTACCAAATTTTGCATTATTTAGCACCTTTCTTACCCTATTATAACGAATTTTCAAAACAACCTCAACATTGCAAAACTTTCAGAATCCCAGCTCTACCCTTCACATGAATCCAAATTGTACCATATTTAGTACCATTTAGGACATTTCGTGCGCATAAGTACGAATTTCCTAAACTACCTCCATCATATTTCTAGCTGTAATCTTGATTGAGATTTCAAATTTCCATTTCTATTAGTTCAACAAATCTAAAATCTTACATTACAACTCTACATTCGCCAAATAATGAATTAAAAAATTTGTTTGAAAATTTTGGACCAATCGGACACATTTTTGCACTGGATCTAGGCTTGGGGAAGATAACACGTTTTCTTCAAATCGGACATTCCTTTTGTTTATTATTAAATTTATAAATACTGATTTTTGTTTATCATATATGGGGATGTACGGGAAATAGTGGACCAATGGGTCTCATCTTTAGACTTTCTGTGACCTTGGTAAATATAATATGTTGGGTAAAGTTTGGATCAAATTGGAAATTCCATTCGCTTGATATTTAATTTATAAACATTGAAAATTTTACGCCTTTTGGTTGGTACCAAAAGGAGTGAACTAATGGGTCTAGTCTTTGGACTTGATCTAGGCTTGGTAAAGATATTAGGTTGTGCAAGTTTTTTTTTTTCAAATCGGATAATTCGTTCTCATTAATTATAAATTATAATTTTTAGCACAATTTTGACCATTTTGAGGGAGGTATCAGAGAGAGTAGACCGATATTCTCCATCTTCGAACATGTTTGGAACAAATATTATGATGTGCAAAGTTTGGATGAAATTGGTTACTCCCTTCGAGAATTTCACCAGCCGGCAGACAAACAGACGGGCAGCCGGACATTTGTAAATCGACCCCAAATTGTCTGAAACGGATTGGACAAAAAATAAGAGATCAAAAACCAATATTTCGATGAGCAAATGTATGCCGTATCAAAGTATATATACCTTTATTAGTCATAAGGCTGAGGGTATAAAAAGGGATGGGCATATATCGGGGACATATTAAAAACAAGGATCTACATTGTTTATTTTTTCATAGATGTATGTCGGCCCCGAATGAAAAATTACAGCTGCTTTGTGGGAAATGGGGCAAAAATCTTTAAAATACTGAAAATAGGACGTGACCTGAAAATGGAAGCTGTGCCAAAACATGGACATTTTGTAAATATACAGTTCATCTGAATTTTTTAACCCAACATGATGTCTGATATGGCGAAGAACCCAACATGATGTCTGATATGGCGAATCTCTTGAGCCTGTCTCGTTCAATGGAAACGTTTGTTCGTCATTAAAATCTCATAGTTATCGATAACAATACAATATTGAGTTATCTGAGAATAGCTCAATTTCGTTGTAATGTATATAAATAAGTATGTGTTGTATGTATTAAAATAAATTGCGTATGCCATTCGTATGGACTCGACACAATAACTGATAATATTCATAAGTATGCTAAACAGTTCTTTGTGTTTTAATCTCTTAACTGTGGCGTTAAAACGTCAGCAGGTCAGTATTTAGTTTCATTTTGGGTTTCAACACATAAACATCGTTTTGAACATAACAAAAAACATAATGAATAAAATTTTCTTAATTTCGATCATAGCTGTAACTTTAGTGGCAATCAATGGTTTTCCTAGTGGGGTAATGTTTTAAATTTGAAATAAATAATATTATAAATTCAAAGCAAATGCATTTAATTAGAAATTACAACCAAAGGGAGCTCCTCGCCAATTGGAGGGTGAAGGCCTCAAGGAGGCCGAAGAAACTTTAGATTTCTCACTGAAGAAATTGGCCACTGGTGAAAATGCAATTAATTATAAGTGAGTATTTCTGATGACTAATTTACTTCATTATTTATTTGAGTAATTTATTATTTATATTCTTCAATAGGATTTCCAAGGTCAATTCGGCAAGCAAACAAACGGTCTCGGGCACTTTGTATCGAATCAATGCTGATATCATTGATGGCGATGAAATAACTAAAAAATGTGATATCAGTATTTGGTCACGAGCATGGCTGCAAAATGGTATTGAAGTCACTTTTAAGTGTAACAATGATCAGGAAGTATTCACTCGCCAGCACAGTGCCTAATCGTGTAATTGGAATGTCAAATAAATACAAATACATAATGTTTATTCGTTTTTGTGCAGATTGGATTTTCTTGAATGGGTTGAGGATTATATATGGAATTTATTTATGTGAAAAACTGATTCGTTCTGTTATATATTGAGTATATTATAGATATGGTGTAACTATTCAAAATCATCGCAGATATCAGATCCTATAAATTTAAGGGAACACTAAATTTGTTAGTGTCTGACTCCGATATCTGGTAGTTGAATTTGCAGACGTTGTTTACAACTTCAATTTGGAGACTTAAAACCAAACCAGTGAGCGGAGCAGTATAGTCGGACGGGGCCGACCATACGATACCCTACACAACTACCACGGAACTCAAATTTTCTGCGGATGTTTATTCCGAGCCTGGGCAATATTTCGTGATATTTGCACCCTCTTGCCCGATTAGAGGTAAACAGCACATCTTCCTCACACCTACATATTTTCCGAATATTACGAGTATTCACTAGAGCTATTGTCCAGATTCCCTTCACAGTAAGTTGTGTTGTGATGTTCGGCTTTCGACTCGAAAATAACACAAAAAATTAAGTTTTCGGTCCACTTCATTCCAAAATTATTATCTGATCATCACCGAAAATTATAGGCGTTGTCCTTGACCATAACCGAAACCTCATGGAACATTTCAAAGCGATCAGCGCTATAGTTCCGCTCTCTAGAGTGATAATGGGTTACTAAATAATATACGAATAATAATATACGAATACGGAGATACCTGTAAATATTTAGGTGTAACTCCCACATCCGAGCACATACAACAATATAATTGGTATTAATTTAAAGGTCAACCACTCCTCTTGTATATAATATAAACTTCTCGGGTCTATGTCCTTCAGGGGTAAATATATACGCTATAGAATACAAATTTAGTCATTTTTCACACAAAAGTCAGGGTCCATTTGACCCGCTAAATATTGACCGATCTCTATAAAAACAGGCATGCTTATTCTTTGGCCCGATCCCCTTCTCCATGGAAAATTTCACGATGTTCGGGCCATTATTGCGGCCTCTGCAGCGACCAGAAAAACCGACAAAAATTTAGTATTTGGTCCATTTCATCCCCTAAATATTAACCGATCTTTTCCAAAAACAATAGGGGTCTTCATTGGCCAGAACCCAACCTACATGCAAAATTTCGTGAAGATTGATCCATAACTGTGGCCTGTATCGTGTTTACAAATTATAATGGACAGACGGACGGACGGACGGACACACATGTCTAGATCGACTCAGCTAGTCGAGATATGACGATCGGTATACTTAAAGGTGGGTCTAGGACCAATATTTCGCGGCGTTACAAACTTTTGGGGCTGCACAAAGCTATAATACCCTGACAACATAGTTGTGTAGGGTATAAAAACCGAAAGTTGCTAGCAGAAGTCACTGCTGGAAGTAATTTGTTATTTTGAATTCCAAACTTAGTTCAAGTTCGAAGATTGGGAACAAAATAGTCAAAATTGTGCAAAAAATTAATGGAACCCATTGGCTCACTTCTTCTGTTAACCTCACAAAGGGTCAACATTTTCAATATTTATAAATGCAATATCAGGTGAATGAAATGTCCGATTTGAACTAGACTTTACACAACTTATTATCTTTACGAAGCATAGATAAAGTCTGAACTTGAGACCCGTTTACCTTTTCCTCTGGTATCTCCCAAAAAATATATAATCTTGTAAATTTTACTTAAATAACCGAATTGATCAACATTAAATCTGAAACATCTTTGATAAAAACATATACTTCATATAAAATGAATAATAAATTCGGTGTGTAACTCCGAAGACCTTCTCCGCAATTTATATATACTTATCTTTTTTAATATTTATTCAATAGTGTTGGCGGGTTATTTGAGATACCCAGTTTGTCGTTTTTATAAAAATAATTACTTATTAGTGGGGAAAGTATGACATTGCCCACCAAAGCGAAAGGCAGGGGAGACTATAGTTTCAGATGTCGCCACTGATCCTCATCACTTCCGTTATGTCTCTTGTAACAAAACGATGTACTTGCGGTACCCGCGATATCACCTCACTGAGAAGTTTGTTGGTGCCTGACTTCGTGGTTAACAAGGTATTTGAAAACAAATGCATACTTTTCCCACTGCCATGTGTTACTCTGTTGAAATCACGATCGCAATATTTAAGATAGGGCCCTGAAATTCTGCGCAGATATTGCTAGTACTCCTAGGATTTTCTTTTGGGCAGGCTTTCCAACCCAATGGCAGCAATTTGTTATTTGTATAGCACAATTCTGTACTAAAGTTTAATAATGGTATTTTGGTATTTTGAGAATATCATTAGATTTGTCCAAAACATAACACACATCATTCTAGACTTAATTCAGTACGTTATGCCAAATTTCGTGCCAATCGGAAAATTTATAGGGGCTTTGGTGCACCATTTACATTAAATCGGGCGAAAATATATATGTGAGCTTTATTTAAATCTGAACCGATATTCACGAAACTTAAAATTTATTATTCTAGACTTAATTCAGTACATTGTGCCAAATTTCCTGCAAATCGAAGATATATAGGGATTTTGGTACACCATATACATAAAATCGGACGCAAATGTATATGGTGGCTATATCTAAAACTGAACCGATTTTCACGAAACTTAGCACATCTCATTCTAGACTCATTAAATAACGTTGTGCCAAATTTCGTGCAAATATATAAGGACTTTGGTGCACCATTTACATAAAATCGGACAAAAATACATATGGGAGCTATACCTAAACCTGAACAGATTTTCACAAATCTTAACACACCTAATTCTAGTCTTAATGTAGTACTCTATGTCAAATTTCGTGTAAATTGAAAGATATATAGGGACTTTGAGGCACCATTTACTTAAAATCGGCGGACGGACATGCATAAATCGACTCAGAAAGTGATTCTATACATATTCTCAAAAGGAACCATGGATCTATCTCGTTTACTTTTGCATGTTACAAACATAGGCACAAAGACATAATACCCTGTATTACAGTGTGGTGAAGGGTATAAAAATAATTTGTCCTTCATTGTACGAAAACTTATACTTTGTAACCTTGTTACGATACCACTAAACGTTGGATTAGTTAGAAATTTCGGGATGGTTTAAATTCCCAAGTAAATGCAAAATAATCTTATCGCATTTCATAATTTTTATTTTATTAAACCCTTTGAGCACCGAATTTTTCCGTAATTATAGAATGACTTTATGTGCACAGATTTAATGCAATTATCCTATATTGAATATGAACAATGTCGACGTGAAAATCATTTTAAATTATTCTCTATTTTAATTCTTATAACAATAATAATATTTTAAATAAAAATTATTTCGATGCTTCGCACAGCTCCATTTTCCAGCACCGCAATTGACCCCAGAACCCCATAAGGTTCTAGCCAGTCTCTTGAAAACACGAGTTCACAATATTTAAGATAAAACATTGAAATTTATCTGATACTACTCCACATTTTTGCCAAACCCCCATATGACGATATCCTTAACATGTTCGTATTTTGTATACGTTTTCCGACCAATCTGGCTACAATTGTCCATTTGGGACTCTCATTGGGTAAATGCCAAAAATTTATAACAATGTTAAGTTCGGCCCGGACGAACTTTTTATATGAGGGTGACATTCATTGTTTCGTGGTGCATCATTAATTCTTGCAACTAGGTCGTAGGGTCAATAAGGAGTACCACCTCAATGTATTGTGCAGTTTGCGTAAATAACGCAACAGTTCACACATCGAATCTTGGCAGTGAGTTTTCGGTCGAAAACAAACCCGTTTTTATGACTAAAACACCGATAGTTATTCTTCCTCACCATAAGGTAATTATTAATTACTAAGGGTTAATTTTTGATCAGATATCGAATACTTAAGTCCACGTTATGAATAAGACAACAACATTTAAGGTTGAAAATATGAACCCTGAATGACAAATTCGGCATAAGTCAAGATTTGGAGTTATGGAGTGATGATTTTTGCTGGGAATTCTCAAATTCATGAAGCAAAAAGTTTACGGATAATGCAGGTTATTTTTCAGTTGACATGTCTTCAGTCATATCGTCCTTATTTGTATACCCTACAGAACTATATTGTCAGGGTATTATAGCTTTGTGCAGCCCCAATAGTTTGTAACTCCGCGAAATATTGGCCCTAGACCCACCTTTAAGTATACCGATCGTCATATCTCGTCTCGCTGAGTCGATTTAGACATGTGTGTCCGTCCGTCGGTCCGTCTGTCCATTATAATTTGTAAACACGATACAGGCCACAGTTATGGACCAATCTTCACGAAATGTTGCAAGTAGAATGTGTTCTGCCCAATGAAGACCCCTATGAAATGGACCAAAAACTTTATTTTTCTTTGATTTTCTGGTCGCTCCTGGCGCCGCAATTATAGTCCAAGCATCGCGAAATTTTACATAGAGAAAGGGATCGGGCCGAAGAATAAGCATGCCAGTTTTGATAAAGATCAGTCACTATTTAGCGGTTCAAATGGACACTGACTTTTGTATGAAAAATAACAAAATTTGTATTCTATAGCGTCAATATTTATCCCTGAATGGCCTAGACCCGAGAAGTTGATAGGAGGAGAGGAGGAGTCGTTGACCTTTAAATTGATATAGGATTTTTCGGTTAATTGCACATCAAAATTTGCACAAATTTTTGTTCAATTAACCGAGGAACCAATTATCCGAACTCGCTTAATTGAATAGTTTGTTCAATTAAAGTAATCACGTATTATTGGAACTACTAATGATTTAAAAAAATTCAATGTCAAATACAAATTACGCTTTCTCGCAGTTTTTTCTTAGCAATAAACATATGTTTTGAATTAAATTATGTCAAATATGAATGTAAAAAATTACAGATTATTTGTCAATTATTATTATGCAATTAACCGGTGAAAAGTAAAAGGAAATTTATTTTTGATGACATGAATTTTGAA